ATGTTAAAATGACCTATGGAAATGCGGCCTATATTCATTTGTTTACTGTTAACTTTAGCGAAAGTCAAGGTGAAATCAGACGCCCTTCGGCCGAAAAACATCATATTTTGTTCGGTAATATGTAGGATCCCAGTATAACATAAAACATTAAGCAAATAGTTACAGCAGTTTGATAAAATGATGTAGATAAGTAAGGTATACATAAATTATGACTTAAATGCTTCTATAGAATCTATCTGATTGTTCATGAATTGCACAGTTCACTTTGTAGTCAAAACATATTTTGAAATTTACTCCAAAAGGTTTTGTCCTAATTAGAATATGGTCTAGTCCATTTTAGGTATTTAGCGGTTTTTTAACCGGAATGCAAAGATCTTTATCTGTAAACAATATTTAGATTTATCTTTATATCACTTGGATTGAACAGACAGTCCGACACCTTGCATGCATTGCGTCTGTATACGAGTCCGCTGAACATCGAAGTTAAGCTCAAGATTTTTATAATCTACATGTATCAGAAATTTCAAAGCACTTAAAGATATCCTATGCTCAAATTTGGTATCAGAAAATATCGGTCATTGCCACACAGTCTCTCTGTAAATATAAAATAAACATGTTTTGACTTTACACAAAGTTAATATGTCAAGTTTAAAACCCTTCACAATATGAATATATAGTCACGTTAAAAAAGAAAAGACCAACTTAACTTGTCCTGTATTAGAGAACGTGACTACAAATATAGTTTTTACTTATTTTTTTATTTAAATTAGACATACTCCTATGTAGGAAGAATTTCATAGGTTTTAATAAATTTCTTCTATTAAAATATTTAACTCAAAGATGAGCACAGTATATCTTTAAATTAAATCAACATGAATCAACATAACAACATACATTATTTAACATTATCTATTTTTATTTTTTAATGTCCGTCTAAGTGACTTAGAACAGTTTTATACCGGATAACCACGATACAGTATTCTTTTTATCTCTTTTTATAGAAATAATTCTCAATGATATATTGTGCAGGATAAAAAAAACTTACAAAGCGCACAACTGTTCAACCCGTAACCAGCGGATCAACTTGCAACAAGTTAACGAGTGTGCTTTAATTTAAATCAATATTTACAAAATAAAACGTTGCACCGGTTTACAATTACAGCATCATAATCATTGTAAAAACTTTACTTAAATGTTTTTTGTTGGACAAGTAATGTAATAATCATCTAGTTCTATATAAGCGTACGAGCCTGTCCAAACTGCCCGAACTACAATGTGTGGGATAGCATTAGCATGTTGAAAACAATTTTCATACATTTCACATTTTCAGGGAAAACTTTGGGCAAGCGCGAAACTTGTATTTCTGGTCTCGTCATATCTGGTTTTTATGAGTGTGAATTGAATGGATCAAGATTCTTTTTGTAACTTTTGATGAAATAAATTTAGACCTACTCAAATCTTTCATTCTTAGCATTACACAAAAGTGCCGTTTAAATCAGGCGTGCGTCACATTAAGAAATGCATAATGTTTATGCAACAAAAAAAAAACAAGAGAAGTCGTATGACACATTTCTGTTAAATTTGAAAGAATTTGTATTTTGCACGAGAATTACCAAGTTATCGTAGTAAGCGTCTGAAATTTCAAACCTGTGTTAAAGTTGACACGGGAAAGCTTTTATTTTTAAATTGTGTTTTGAAATTTATTTTAGAAAATTATAATTGGAAAGAATTCTTTTGTATTTTATCAGTTTGTGAAATATCACGTGGTAATTATGTCATGAGAAGTGACCAATGGACACTTTGGCCAGAAGTGCGAATCTATAAATACTTCAATTTGAAAACCAGCACCTTCTCACTTCCCCTCGGAGCGTGCTCGTCGATGAGAAGGCACCGGGCATCGAAAGAAGATTTTAAGACTTGGATTTGCACAAAAAGATCAGAACTTGTACTGCGGATCAGCTGCCGATGTCCCGACTAATGCCGAGGGGATTGACCCTACATAATAGACTGAAACAACGAGAATGTTGTGCTAGAGTGCACGATTAGATGGCTTGAACGGCAGACCGTTTGCTGGCGCAAACAGCCTTTTTTACGGGCTTCCCTTTCATTTTGTTGCAGGTAACTGAAAATTAAGGTTCTTATTGACCGCAGTACAGTGCCCAACCGTTCGCTTAATATTCAAATCTATGTCTAATACTCCGTGGAAATTGCATGCAGGTAAATAATCACCACTTTGTGCTCCAAAACTAACTCTTTAAGGGCATGACTGGTGACATATCCGGGGTTCATACTCGGCAGCGGAAGCTGCTGTTTGTGCATTACCGAGCGGATGGACTCTCATTTAGCATAGACTTAATACGTACATTTCACCAGCATATAAAATTATATAAAATTCACACATATACTATAGGAAAAGAACCGGAAGCAAACACTGATATTCATTGGTACAGATTGATTTTACATGCTTTCTATAATACTATCGTCTGCACCTGATGCTCAAAAGTGGAACTTGTAGAATATATATATCCCCCCTGACATTATCTCCCCTTGCAATAATCCTATATTACCGTCGTACACATCGGATAACTGATTCAAATGTTTAACACACAATTTCACCTCATTATAAAGTGGCCTTACAACATTAAATAATCTACCACTCCCATTTTAATAAGTTTAATCCAAAGACCATTCCTGTATATTGAATCAAAACACTTTTGAAAATCAATAAATCAACAGTACAGTTTAGATCTATTTTTCAATTGTTTTTCGATAAAGGAATTTAAAAAAAATATTGCATCTACAGTACTATAATTAGCTTTTAAACCAAACAGTCAGTAATACATGTAATAATATCATTTGCAATAGACCATTTTTTTAATCTTTCATTTATAACAATAGTGAATAATTTAACACATCAACCAATAAGCGTAATACCTCTATAATTATTTACATCAGCATTATCTCCCTTTTTAAATACAGGTATAATATGACTTTGGGAAACATTGTTTATCAAAAATATAATTAAAAAAGATATCTAACGGTTTCAATAATAAACAGCCAATTGGTGCGTTTGTTTGTTTATTTAATTGCTTTATTTGATTGTGAAACTTTGTTAAATACACATGTAATAACATGTGTATTTGTTAAATCTGTGAAAAACTGTTTAACTACATTTAGATGAGACTTTAATGAACATTGTTTGGAGTAACAGACAACACTGGCCTGAAGTGGTGCGACCGGTAGACGTTGATGTTTTATTTAGTTCTTCATTTTTTTCTTTGTTTGTTTGTTTGTTTGTTTGTTAGATACTGTTACGCATTTTGAACCAAAAAATGCTCCTCTACGCCTCTTGTGAAAATTAAATTGTCTGGTCAATACATTATAATAAATTTAGATGTCACTACGATTCTAGCAGATTTATCATAAATCTAAAGATGTGGGGAAATGACATCACGCGCACCTGTTTTTATACGGCCAATACACAAACATGGCCGCGCCTACTGATTTGAAGAAATCGGTGATTTAGCGATTTAAATTTTGTTATCATTTATTTAATATTATTATTTGAAGGCAGAAAAATTGAAGATTTACTTTTTAAAGTATTCTTTTTTTGATATCAAGTTTTTATTCTAATATTGCCTTTCTCTTTAATGGTAAAAATATTGTTATATATTTATACATGCACTTAAAGGCCCATTATGCCTCAGAAACGCTTTTATTCTTAATTCTCTAAAGCCTTTCAATTTTACATTCATAACATATTTAATGTTGGCGAATTTCTTAAAACATCTTTTACATGTGTTTCTTTTTGGCAATTAGTACTGGTATAATGGTTATAAACAAACATCTTACTGAAATGAAATGACTAAATTTTAAAACAATTTGGACCACAAACGGAGTTAGTATAAAAGCGACGAAAATCTGCTTTGTAAAATTACAAATTGATGTCACAGTTGTTTCTCTTGATTATTAAATGGTCAGAGAGAATGTCGATCTTAAATGAAGATACGTATTTTCCCTAGGAAGGAATTAGAGAAAAGGCTGTATAACACCGACTAAAATTGTTTGTTTGTTTTTTTTTGGTTTTTACGTCACATTGACACAGTATAGGTCATTTCGTGACGTTCCAGCTTTACTGGTAGAGGAAGACCTCAGGTGCCCTTCCGTGCATTATTTTAGGCACGAACGGGCACCTGAGTAGAACCACCGACGTTCCGTAAGCTAGCTGGATAGCTTCCTCACACAAAAGAATCCAAAGCTCAGTTATGCGATTTGAACCCACAGCGGTGAGGGGCAAGTGGTTTGAAGTCAACGACCTTAACCACTCGGCCACGGACGCCCCCACTAAAATTGTAACGGATTGCTAAATTTTGATGTATTTTAATACGCGAAATACACTTATAACACTCATTTAAAATAAAACCATTTTCGATCAATCTTTAACATAATTGTTTTAGAAGTAGTTCTAGGAAATTGTCAACAAAAATGATATTGTAAATTAGAACTGTTCCTATTAAAGCTGATAGGTTGATAAATTCATTTTCACGATCGTTTGCTTTGACATATTATTAAAAAAATATATTATCATTTTTAAACGTATAACTTCTAAAACATTCAAGGCTTATTAACTAAAAAATATCGATGTTATTGTAAATTTAGTATATCGAAAATGCCTCATGAAAAAATGACACTAGAAAATAGATACAGAATTTAGCCATTAAAACATACAAAAACCAAGCTCAAATGTGAATATCATTACATCTTCGACGATTGCCCAATTCAAAGTAGGCCTACATCATATATTCTTTTATAATTACATAGTCAGACTGAATCTGAAGAATCATAAAGTACATTACTTCGAGTGAGATTGTTCCTCATCATTGATAACTGTTGCTCGAAATATAACTAAAGGCCTCAACAGACGGTAGGATTTTGAAGTACAACACCAATTAAAACTAAGATGTACAGACAAATCTTAATGTGTGAGAGCTACTATCCTTGATTTCGGAAACCTTAAGTCTAGATGTAAGGGATAGGACATGTTCTATTTTGAAAATCTTGTCGTACAAATTTTTACAGACCTCCCACAATGACAAGTAACTGATAACCAAATTATCTCCTGATAATGGGTGTAATGAAGAAATTCCAGAACAATTAGGGCTAAAAGGTAGACATAGTAGTAAGATGGGGTAACATGATGTTGAAAAACTCTTCAGGAGACCCATAGTTGTGTTACGTTCGAATCCAAAGTTATTCCGAAAATGATTATGTCACAGTATTTAATTGTTCTCTAATTAGGGAAGGGGAGGTAGTTTGTAGGCGGCCAGATAGCTTAGTCAGTAGAGCCGCAGTACGATAATCCGAGGGTCCCAGGTTTGAGTCTCTGTCAGGCTTCACATTAAATATATATATACTTATATTTACTCATGGCGAAAAAAGTATTTAGGGAGTAAAGTATGTTAAGGATCAATGTAAAGAGATCCTTTTTATGGGAAACTTCAGATGATTCTTACAGTGTAGAATTCCCGTCTGAATGCAAGTGTTGTATTGCTTTGAAAATTGTACATCTTATCCCTAATTAGTGCTGTACAACTAATTCCTACCGTCTGTTGAGGCCTTAAGGGGTTCTGTATTATCATTATTAGACTAGAAACTTAAAGTTCAATGAACCAGTTTTAATATTTGACGTTGTAGTTCAAAACTAAAATAAGTTAATTTTCCTTATTTACGAGTGAAAGTATCGGTAGCTGCTGGAATAGGTCCAGAATTGCACAGAATCAGAATTGCTACCCGTTTTGTAGGTACGAGTTCGGTACTTCTTAACAGTTGTCTGCCACAAAAGGACAACTCCGGTCCAACATTGATATTTTCTATGTTATAACACTATTGGCGTTGTTGCATTATAATAAAATAACACATTATATTTACAGAATACAACATGCTTCATGTTATGAAAAGACCAAGTCTGCTGAATTGATAAGAATTTGAAATAAATAATTATTGGATATATACTAGGAAAAATTCAAGACGCGGGTGATAGATAAAACTGTTGCTGTGCAGATTTTCATGTACACAATAATTACTTGACAACAGCATAATAAATAAAAGACAACATACAACAGATTAATTAATCAACTCTAACATGCGATATGTTGACCCTAACCCCTTACCATTTGTCGTCACTTACATCAGATGAAACCAGCCGAGCTCATATAAATTCTTATTTAAAAAAGAACAAAATCACACCCGAGAAAATTGTTAGGGCGTATAAATTTGTTTCTACTGAAACATTCAGTAACTCATATATATCTATATATAAGCATATATCCTATTTTACAGTTTTTTACAGTCATCCATATACATTAAGACTATTTCGTCCTTAATAAGCTTAACGCTTTGGGAATTAATGTGAATAGTATTCCGCACTTCAATTATCCTAGATAAAAAGATGGTGCGAAGATATTACATTTCACAAACACCAGATGTCGCTTGTCGACAGAAAATACAACCTTGTCACTTGTATCCAACATCGAATGTGATCTCTTTGAATTTCTTCAATGATCACGTGTCACTGGGAGAGTCGACAAGCATTGTCTCCGTGCAAGATGTGTTTCGTCCATTTGAATGGACTATACTATAATCTGACATCATACTTCGACTGCTCACACCTTTACCCTTTCTCTTTTTCTGTAATCCAAACAGATTTCTAAACTCTCGTCTGAAATATACACCGGTTGCGTAGTATATGATGAAATATGTAGCGTAATTTGACAAACAAATTTCTTCAACAATGTACCTTATTGTCAAATAAGAGAAATATCCACTCCAAACGGGATCATCAGACCAGGTGTTTATTGGCAAACTGACGTCACCTTGTGGTATTGATGACTGCATGGCGTACACTATTGTAGCTGGCAACAATGTGAATATAAAATAGAAAGAAACACACAGTAATGTTGTAGTTGAAGCTGCATTACCGGATGTCGGGCCTTGCCCATGCGCAGCACTTTGAGCTGACAAGCGTCTGATTTCCATGATGACAAGAATATTTATAACGAGGGAAGACACCGGAATAAAACCAAATATTAACATTTCTGTTAGCCAAGTCCAAATTGTGTTAAATTGTTCAGTATTCGGCCTAAACACACATCCAATTTCATCATCCCAAGCCCAAACGTAAATCTGAAAAAGCCCAATCGCTATTGAAAGAGCAGACATACATATGATAACAATTTTAGCACGGGTAACTGTACAGTATTTCTCTTTTACAAATGGGTGACATACAGCTATATAACGTTCTGTTGTGAAGCCTAGAACCAACATTGGAACCTGTAATTAGAAATATTTTTTTATTAAATTGTTGTTCTATTTAAAGTACAGAATGACAGAAGTGATAAAACCCCCCGCGCACACACAAAAGATATACGCCAAACATAACAGTCACACCTGAACGCGGAGTAGTCATGTAGTAGAAACCAAACACGGGCCAGCAACGTGTTGATTTTTTTAAATAAACACGTATCAAATTTTGAATGTCTCGAAAATAAATAATATTATTTTTAAAAACGTATTATATATCGAAGTTTATACAATATAAAATTTTTTACTTTGAATACAGAAACTGTAGAGATTTGCAATATGAACGAAATCTCCCGACATTGCTCTTGTTTACTGAGTCAAGATCATAATAATATGTTCATTAAGCAGGAAGACTATATCACACTGACTACCTTCCTTATGTTAAAATATGGACGATATGTTTGTGCATTTTTAGCGTTATATTGGATTATATGAGGTCATCACGTGACTGCAAAGCATCCAATGAGAGAAAACCATTTTGTAGTTGGTGTTATTATGGCTGGGTTAAAGAAAGTCTTTTACCAGATACTGTGGAGTAATTTGCAGGAAGTTGAATAGTTTACATGTTGTTTTCATGCCAAAGGTTGTTACACCCCATGCAAACTGTAGTTCTTTTATGAAGTGTAGAACAAGGTATATCGTCTCTACTATTGCAAGGGAACCAAAGTACACCGCGGATGAATTTGTCTTGCACACTTTCCTATAAAATACATAGCATTACAGAAAAAGAAATAAAATGATATAATAAGTATGAAGCGATGACTTAACCGTAGCCTCAAACTTATATTAATTAATTAGATAAATTGCAATGTAAAAATTCGGTTTTCATTATGTGAATAAATCATTAAAAGCATTATGACGTTATTTTTCAATATTTCATCGCGTCGGAAATATTGTACAGAGTCTTTATGCAATATAACTGTATAACTGATTACGCATCAACGTTATAGCCTACAAATATTTTTCTATCAAATAAAGATCGGTTTACAAGTCAATTTTTTTTTAATGCTGATTTAGGGAAAACTATTAGAAAATCGAATAATCAAATACAATAATAAAAACGTTGGCGTAAACTGACAAATGTAGAATATGGATATTCTAAGAAATAGTACGAATGTTCAAAACATATTGGATACGGCAGGAATAAATAGAAAATCAAAACTGCCATGTCTATAATAACTTGGAAGACAAATATTTATTTTCTTCTCAGTCAGTTATAATAAAAATGCTTGTTTCTGTTATAAATAAATGTTTCTGTTATTTGGGTCACATATATATACCTCCGTCGGACTCAAAAGTTCTTACCACATTTGATATTGATTTATATGATCAATTAGAATTAGACATAATTAAGTATGGGTGTTTAGGGAAAGTATATATTTCTGGCGATTTCAATAGCAGAACTTCTGATATGTTAGATTATTTCATATTTGATAAATATATTGACCACGATTTTCCGTCAAGTGATATTGTTGACATTATGAGAAGCGTAAATAAAGACCACGTGGTCGATAACAGTGGGCGTCGCTTAATAGATACCTGTATCGCTACCGGGCTTTTAATAGCCAATGGCCGCTTGTTAAATGACCGTGACGAAGGTTGTTTTACATATTGCTCGTGTAGAGGACAAAGCACGGTGGACTATTTGTTACTAAATCAATACGACTTCGAAACTGTTACACATTTCTCTGTACTGCAATTCAATGAACATTCGGATCACGCTCCGTTAACAATTTAGCATAATGACAAAACAAACTCAGTCGCAGAACAACGACGCGAAGGAATACGAAAAAAAATCGACTAAAATTTTATGGGATAGCGAAAAATCCGAAATGTTTCGCACACACATTATTAATAATCATGAATACATTGAAAGGTTAACCAATGATGCATTAAGGGCCCGATTGACCAGACGGTGAACAACTTTACTCAATTTTTATATGACAACGCATTAATCATATTTGGGAGAACTTGTAAAACAAATAGATATGAATCAAATAAAAAAGCGAGCAGTAAATGGTTTGATGTTAATTGTTACAACGCCAAACGAGAATTTAAAGCAGCTCGAAATAATTTTAATAGAACAAAAAATGTTGAAATGCGACATAATTTTATATACTCCCGAACTATGTACAATAGGATAAAGCGAAAGGCAAAACGAGATTTTAAAATAAAAGAAGGGCATCGTATTAATAATTTAGCAAAAAACTAACCACGTAAATTTTTGAAAAATATCAAAAAATCTTTAAATAGAACACATACAAAGGCTGAAACATTAACAGTTAATGAATTACATGACCATTTTAAAAGTCTGTTTGGGGGAGTCATTATTGAATAATCAACCGGACCGCGGACTTTTCCCAAAATATATAAATGAAGACTTAGATATGAATTTCACAGAAGCAGAACTCCGCGCAGCAACTTTTTCTAAGAATAATAATAAAATGCCAGGTATCGATAATTTAACTAGCGAAATCTTTAAATCGACATATGACATTATCTCGCCAGTATTACTTAATCTATATAACAGAATTTTTAATACAGGAGAATACCCGCGCTCGTGGGGGGAAGGGATTATTACTCCAATTTTAAAAAAAGGCAATATAAATGATGCAAAGAACTATTGTGGAATTACTTAAATTAATGTTATAGCAAAAATTTACTCACAATTATTACTTAACCGTTTAACGAAATGGACTAAAAAACACGAAAAGATTACACAAAGCCAATTCGGATTTCAAAAATGAAAATCGATAACTGATTGCATATTTATCCTAAATTCTATAATAGCATAAGTTTTAAATTCTGGTGAAAAACTATATTGTGTGTTCATTGATTATCCACAGTGTTTTGACAAAATTGAAAGAAACTTTTTGTGGCAAAAACTTTTGTCAGATAATGTCAGTTGTAAATTTGTTATGGCCATAAAATCAATGTATAAAACAGTAAAGTATTGTGTAAGGTATAAGTCAGATACATCTACATTCTTCAACTCAGACGTGGGCTTGAAGCAAGGTGACCCAAGCTCACCTCTGCTCTTCATGCTCTTTGTGAACGACATTTTAGATAATATAAATACTGATCTTGATGGCATTTTTACTATAAATGAATTAAAACTGTTCATTCTTATGTATGCAGATGATCAGGCAATTTTTGCTAAAACGCCTGAAACTTTACAGTCTATGTTAACTGATGTGGAAAATTATTGTAATTTATGGGGTTTAAAAATTAACATTTCAAAAACAAAAGCGATGATCTTTGAAAATGGGAGGCACACCATGTATAACTTCAAAATTTATAATCATATTATAGAAACAGTAACCTTTTTTAAATATCTATTTAGGTATTACATTATTCAAAAATGTTAATTGGTACCGTACGCAAAAATGCATAGCTCAACATGCATCATTTGCTATGAATAATCTATTTCGTATATTTAACGATGTAGAACTACCAATGGATCAGAAGTTTAGTTATTCGATACACTAGTATCTTCAATTCTAAATTTTGGATCCGAAATATGGGGTATATATGAAGCAAAGGATATTGAGTCTATTCACACTAAGTTTTTAAGACGCATTTTTGGTGTCAAAAAGTCAACAAATTTATCTACACTTTATGGAGAATTAGGAAGAATTCCTTTGTTATTCATTCGAAAAATAAATATGATTAAGTACTGGGTAAAAATTTTAAAACAGAATGATACTGCTCTGGTTAGAAGAAGCTATTTAATTTTAAAAGTAGATGCAGATCGTAATTTAAAATATAATGGGAAAAATTGGGCTTTTCAGATAAAAAAATATTTTACAAGAACATGGTTTATTGTATGTATGGAATGATCAATTTGCAATCGATATTCCTTTTTCATTGATTAAACAGAGAATTATTGATAACTTTTTACAAAAATGGTACTCTGATATCAATAACTCCAATCGTTTACAGTCATATTGTGTCTTTAAGTATGAATTCGAATTAGAAGAATATCTGAAAGTGATTACTGATAAGAAATATAGAATTGCTATGTCAAGTTTTAGAACTTCATCATAAAATCTTTTTATAGAATCTAGAAGATATAATAATACTCCACGAGAACAGAGACTCTGCAAATCGTGCAATATGAAAACCATTGAAAATGAGTACCATTTTTTGCTAGTATGTCCATTTCACCGTGACTTAAGAAGTTAATTTTTTAAACAATATTATTGTCGTTGGCCAAATATCACTAAATTCGAAAAATTAATGTCATCAAAATCTAAATCTGTTCTACTGAACTTAGCAAAAATATATATTTATTTTGCAATGAAAAACCGCATCTCATAATACACTCTCTAAATTTAAATATCTTTACTACTAACTCTATTTTTTCCTTAATAACTAGAACCTTTTTTAATATATGTAACAATATATTTAGTATTTTTTTTGTATATCTAGACCGTTTGTGAGAATTGTTTATGTAATTTGAACTACTCTCTTCGGATAAAATTTCATTTCTTTTGTCATGTCTGTCGCTGCACATTTTTGTTTGTATTGGCTCTAAACATATGTTTATGTTTTATGCTGAATAAAATTTTGTATTTGTATTGTATTTGTATTGCATAAAAGGTAACTTCGCCTCAGTTTAATAAATAAACGCTAAAATAATTCGTTTTGATGGCCTATGTACATTTCATTGAATAACAAGCAATTATCATAGTATTGCAAACAATAAAAAGATCCCTGCCGTTGAGAACAATAACAACATTCTGAAGGGTCGTTGCCATTCAGTAATACCATTGTGGAAGACATGAATGAACATTAAATATTTTGATTTGTTACTTTATCTATATTATAGTAATGTGTTAAGTTCCCTTACCTTACAAGGACACTATGTTTATACAACAGATAATCAAAAGATCCAATTTTATTAGGATAAATATTTAAAATGTATTTTATAAATTTTCTCTGTTCAAGTAAATTTGTTGGAAAAATTCCAAGTTCTTTAAAGATATCCTCAGAAAACAGTTTTTAGATACGGCCAAACAGACGGAATTTAACTTTAAAGGAGATAACTCTTATAATAAAGGTGCTAGAATTATGAACATTGTCATACATGATGTGAGAGGTGACAAAGAACATACCAATTACAAATATATAACATTTATAGTAACAAAAAAGATAATACAAAAAATGTATAAAACTTTTCAAATAAAATCCAAATGAAAATAATCATGGAGACCCAAGGGCACGACAAATAAATATAATAACATACGATGTAGGTGTTATATAATGAACATATATTTATCATTTCAAGTAGCAAATCCATGAAGAATTAAAGTGTAGAATAAAAAAGGAAAATTCGAAGTTTACAGAGGAGATAATTCTGAAAAATCTGGACTGTAGATTTACATTCCTGTCATATTATTATGGTGTGATATTTTGAAGTAAATCCTGTAAGAATGAAACAAATAAAATTCTAGAAAAAAATCTAAGTTCAACGGGGACATAACTAGAATATTGAACTTTTGCATGCATGATTTGAGTAATAATAGAAACACATACTTCAAGTTTGAAGAAGAAACCTTCTTAGGATTGCTGGCCGCGTGGGTTCAAACCCGACCGAAGGGTATGAGGCAAACCGTTGTTTCCGTCAGCAAGAAACTACAAACATTGCGTAGTCCTGATTGTTTCCAAGAACGGATTCGAGTGTTTCAATAAAGCGTATAGCTTCCTATACAATCGAACTAAAATAGATCAGTATAAACTAAATATTTCAAAACGTAGTCTATTACGACGACTATCTGAGTGAATCTGTTATCAAAATAGATTATATTAATTCGTGTGTAGTTTTACAGTGTTACCGATATGTCTGAAGAGTCAAGACCCTGATATATTAAATTTGGAAATTAAATTATGGACATCGTATTACATTAGAACAATATATGAAAATTTCAGACAACAAAAGCATCAGTGATATCGACTTTCCTTCATTATTTAATGTATGGTGTATGCTTTTATACTTCTAACATTTGAAAATCATAAAAAACTTACTTAGTGAAAAAAACAAAACAAAAAAAACAACAACAACAAACACCATTAAGTCCCTTTAGACAGTTTCAGGTTAACATTTGTTCATGTATAGATTACATATACGTTAAGTTTTTAGAATGGAAAGTTATAAAACAAGTGCGCCGTTCATTTTTTTTACGATATTCGCTTGGTTAGCGTTAATAAAATGTAACTTTAAAGTCGGAAAAATACCTTTTGCTTTGAAGTAAATGTATCCAGCTGTTAATGATATTGTAAAAATAGCTGGGATATGAGTTTATTTAAATGACAATAAATCCTTATGCTCTATATATTAGTACATTGTATTGTTTTTTATGATGTAGTATTTTTCTGAAAAGTGGTATATGTTGACATGTGCATTACAGGTACATTTATTTAAGCACTTCATCTTCTGTAAAGGGATATATGATAACCATTAGGTTTTATGTAGGTCTTTATTAAGCGTTTTATCTTATAACTGCAGATGTCATCTCTAGGACACACCTTATAACTACTCAAAATGTCTAGCTGAATGAAGGGTTAAATATCATTTTTCAAATATAATAAACTCAATATCGTCATAATATATTTGCCAACTAGTCGGATATATGTGTATATTGTCTATATTAACCTGTCATAATAGTTAGATAAAATTGTAAAAAACAAGTGAATGGTTACAAAACAGTGCTGACATATTAACTTAATGGTGTCAGCCATATCGTCTGAAAAAAAGGAAATGATTGTTTGTTTGATGTTACCGACGGAATGACATGGGCTTTTAATTGCTTTTATTATCTAGTTAGGCTTTAACCCATAATCTGGTTGAACCGAAAGTGATACGTCTTTGCCAGAACCAGTATTGAGCCAGTCTAGCTATGAAATCTGACAATGCTTGATATCTTTAAAACTGACAACGGCCCATTTTATTCATGGGAACTGGACATGTCCAGATAAGAAATTCAACAGGTTAAAGATTGAAAGAATTTGTTCTAAATTTTATGAATAGCTCGTCAAGAATTAACAGAAATATCAAGAGTTTTCATGAGGATAAATAAGTAATTCACTTTAACTTGCTTAAGAATGCAAAACATGTGTGCTGTCAATGTTTACCTGCTAAAGCAATTAATGGGTAGTATACATTTGCACTTACAAACTTGCTTGCATGATTTCAGTCGGCCATATTCCCTAGCCATAAATGATAACTCCCTGTTTCCCTGTCTAAAATTCCATCAAATTATTCCCCTTTTAAATGAACTCAAAGAAGGGACCTTTTTAAAAGACTTTACATTTATTTATTCGATTTTTTTTTGTTCAGAAACGGACAATTTTTTTATTTACCTTTGTATAATTTGCTTTCTATCTATATATGGTTCCTATGGTAAACATATGAGTTTTGATGGTAAACAAATGAATTTTCTGAACGGAATGTAATCTAACAGACAGCGTTGCTGTCATCACATGTAAACAATACATTAAATCGGTAAGAATATTGAGATATTTGTTTGACTATCAGTTTCAAATGCAAAATATTAATATGGAAAACAACTATGTGTAGTTTATGTGTATTGTTTAATGTGTTTGTCTGATATTTTAGTTGTAAAAGCCATGTACACTTAGTGTCACTTCATAGCAACCGAGTTTAAAACGTGAGCGGTAACTGAACGAGATATAGCAAAGCGCATGCTCGTGCACTGACTTCCGCTCTATCGAAATACTGCATATACATATAGCGAAAGTTCGTAAGTGATTTGTATATTTCTACTACATTTTACCTAAACAATTTTATCGGATATGTGTTCGTCCAAGACGCCTTTCAACAATTACCTTATTTACTTTTACACTAAGAGTCGCAGTAATCAGTCAAAGTTGTATATGTAGTTTGTTACTTATGCAGTAACTTGTAAAATTTATTCACTTTTTTCTTTCGTTTTATAAACAATTCAGTTACTTACCTGGACAACCAGATTACGGCTGAAATTGGATTCCCAATGAGACCGATTATGTACCAGATAGGGGAGATAATCCTGTCGACGAGGATAATTTGTGGCGCAGTTATCTGGAGAATCTGAGTGGTGGTCATGCACATAAATGGGTTGGTCATATTAGAACTATTACAACTCATCATTTCTTCAGGATGGATACTGCTTGAGTTATTCATGATGAATCTGGGAAAAAAATTGTTTTAATATATCAATTATTTACATCATTTGGACAAGAACATGAAATGTTGGAGTGTTTTATGCCGTTAACTATAATTCATACGAATTACAACAACAACAACAACAAAAACAAAAGAAATAGACTGTTGCTTCACAAGTATTTAATGGCGTCTTTCGATTAAGATTCATTGTAGCAGACGGGCAGACGGGATGTTTTGCGAATGTGAGAAGCTCAACTAAAATCTCATGTATATCCAATTTTTTGTTTAATACATTTTTCGTTAAATAACATATCAGGGACTCTACGCACTAACGCATATAATAGTTCTTTAAATTTATTTTCAAATCTGGGGTAATAAAAAAAAACATTCTAATGACTACTCACTATTACCCGTTTCCCTTTGTTTGTTTCGTCGTAATTACATGTATACCTATCATTATTTTGTATACGTGCGGGCCAAATTTGGGACAGTGACCCTTGCTTTTTGTGCTTTGTAATTTAATGAGACGGAAACGGGGTAAAAATAGGTCAATTTTGGTTTTATTAAAAAGTTGTTTAATCAACATTAAAAGCAAATAGAAATAACTTTATGAGACCAGCGTTGTGAACTTAAACGATATTTTTTAAATGCAGTGCAACTACGTGAAATGATGGAGGGTGGGGGGGGGGGGGGGTAAATGCAATTTTTAACTTATTTGCTCTTATCTAGGGTGATTAGGTTGATTTATTTTACGGAATATATTGCGCCCTGGATAGTTGATGCACTTTATTTTATTGGGTTAGAGATAATATCAAGCCGATGCATTATTGTAATGTTGACTTTTTTTTATTTGATATTAATATCCCAGGAAGTTTTATCCTATATTTTCATTTCGTGTTTAATTTCTTCAATATACTATCATGTGACCATATCTGTATACATGCTGCTATCAAATAACATCATTTATGGCAAAGAAAGAAAATTATATGTATATAAATAATGACAGTATATGAACAACCATTTTAACTGAAAATTCGTCTTCATCAGAAAACAGCATTTCTTCGTGTAATAAGTAATAGAAAGAGCATCGAAACACGAGGCTATCTGATTTGAACGAGGGGGGCGTAGCCCCCGAGAATTAATCAGATTTCCGAGTGTTTTGATGTTCTTTCTTTTTTGTATCATAGTCAAACATAAAAACACGTTCCCTTTTGTCACAACATGAAACTCCGGGAAAAAGTAACCAATGGACGAGCATCTGAATATGATATTTCTGTCGCTTTCCCTTTCTCTTCCGTTACAATAAGTAAACCCCAGCAAAAGTGAGCCAATCAATGGGAATGCTCTGGAGTGCGGGTAACTAATACCTGCACTCAAAGTAACGCACTATGCATGTATATGTATACAATTTGACTCTGACACATTTTCAACAGAAAGGTCCCCAAACTATGATACAATTATCTAAAAGGTCTTGAAAATATAAACTATTGCACAAATAACTACTGTAAGTGCTGTTAGACACAATCTTCTTAATACCGTACTGTAGCAAAAAAAATTAGAGGGGGCGTAGAAGTTACCTTGTACAAGGTTTGGTTCGCACACACCAACTTTAAGTTTATTTACTAATTAATTATAAAAGCACATTGGATCCATTTTATGGAACTTTACGCAAAGACAAGAAACACGACGGAAAAACTTTAATTCAGCAATACGAAACCAGAAACAACACCATCACAATGAATAACCAAATAAAAACAGAAGAACTCAACTCACAAGAGAAACAAACAAGTGTCCGGTCTTTTGTCGGAAAACGGTGTACAGAAAAAACTATTATGAAAGCTGTTGTATTTTGGTTATTGCAGGGTTTATTGACCAAATTCAGATGAGAATTTATATCTAATACCCCGTCATCAGTGTTATTATTTCACATCATTATTCATTTTATTACTTTACATTTATATGACATCATCCTTTCCAGTGCCATTAACTGTTCATCAATAGTACAGGAAACTTTGCTGAAATGGTTTCATTGCTAATTATATTGAAAAGGACACTGGAACAATATTTGACCTAATCGCAAACGATGTTTATCTTACAAACTGTACACACGATGTAGACAATGGAGGTTAATCATACTGTTATTTTAGATAATTGAACAATTACTACAAAATGGTGTATTTGAATCTGATGACCCCCACTAAAAACATTAGAAACATATAAACAGTATAAAAAATAGTGTACCAACTTCTTATTCGGCAAAATGCTTAAAATATCACTGCTTAACAGAACTTTGTGTGTTTCTGCATCAAGATGAAAAATGCAATGACACTTTTAAACAGCGAATATAACTTTGAATGTCATATTTGTAAAATATGATTGTTAACTCATATTTCACAAAGACATTATAAATTACAAATGTATTTTCGTTTCTTAAACTCCCGTTTTTATTAAGAGCCATAGACTTTGAGCAAAAAAAAAAATTCAGCCACTTATGTATACAGGAACGGAATGCTTTAAGAAAATTTAAAGGTTATGTTGAAGTGGTCTTAATAGAAAAAGTTCTGATTATTTTAGTCATTTTTTCTGGAGACATCTCCTTAACTTTTATGGGAAATGAAAAAAAATCATGTCAGTTTTTGTTTACAATTTTATCATTTTTTTTTTAATAGGTTTTCGGGTCTGTAGTTCTGTCAAAGATACGATTTACGGTAAAACAGTTTGTTATTACGTTCATCTTATTACAGTTGATGTCCCTCATTGGTTGCTGGGTTTAGAAGATGATTAAAGTATCTGATCATATATTAAAATATATGCTTGTTGTTACCAAATATATATATTTTATCCGACTTTCATTTATAATATAATATGCTCAGATATTTGAAAGTACTGATATTATAAACTGCTTAACAGTCTCTTTTTAAATGTAAATAATAATTATTTCAAGCACGAGTCGGTTGGTAGAGCCACCGTTTTGCATAGCTTCCTCAAATGAAAAAATACAAAGTCCGTGGCAGTGAGGGGCAAGTGGTAAGAACGTATCACATGAACTTGACCAGTAATAGGGTATGCAGCAGATCACACATAGTTTGCGCATTCTCATATTCAATTTAAAAATATGTATGAATTTTCTAGATTTCAAAAAAATTTCTGCAATACAAGTATTTTACCCAGTTTAGTACTCGTATGTCTTTAAAGATTGAATTTAACTGAAAAGATTTCTCATATTATCTCATATTATTATTGTCTTTAGTAAGTTACACACTCATTTAAGCCCATTTAGAGACATTGCATTATTTATTCTTCGCTATAGTTTGTCGACGTGATATATTCATTAGTTTAATAAGCAATTTCTATTCTAGTCTTATTTCTACTATTTTACCATAGTTTATTTTATTCTATCCTTTTTTGTTATAACATATATTTTGTTATATTTTTACTTCAGCATATTCTATTCTATAATGCAATATTTTGTTATAGCAAATTCTATTATATTCTTTTGATAGAGATCAAAACACATTGCCCATTTTCGTTAATCCAATTCTGCTCACATATTATCATGCATTGTTTTTTTTTTTTTTTTGAGAATCATGAATATATAGATATAATTTGTTTCAAAATAGGTAAAATAACAAGAATTCGATTATATTCAGATGCATAAAAATTGCAATTGTTATATAAACGATGCGACTTACTTAATATACACTCCAAGTGTGTGTCATCTTGTCCATTGTAATTCCAATAAATCAAATGAGCCGCGTCACGACAAAACCAACGTAATGGGTTTGCGACCAGCATGGATCCAGATCAACATGCGCATCCGCGCAGTCTGATCAGGATCCACGCTGTTCGCTTACAAACCCTATTACAAGTAGAGAAACTGATAGCGAACAGCATGGATCCTGATCAGACTGCGCGGATGCGCAGGCTTGGCTTGATCCATGGTGGTCGCAAACCCATTATGTTGGTTTTGTCATGGCGCGGCTCAAATTATGCTCAATGTAAATGTACAAAATTTCCTACTCCGGTTTAAATATTAAAACAAATTTATTGGTTAACACTCCATTCATTTCTTTATTACATTAAACGGAAGATAACTGAATTACACATTGAAAATAGAATATTTCTGTCCTTGTGGTTTACACAACTATTAAATACCATGTCCCGTGGTTGACACAGTCTTAGTAATTAGACATCACGTGACTTTTTATCTTTGTAATGTCTGCAGATCTGCTGATATTCGAAGTGAAAAAGGATACTAGTTTAGTTTATGAGTTATCTTATGTTATTAAATCCGGCTGATATAATAAATTAAATGAATACTTGATTGTAAACGTGCTAAATATGACACTTTATGTATTTAAAATCTATTGTATATTAATTTTTATATTCGATATTTTGACAAACATTTAAAACTCATATTTCCTCAGTTTTAATCGCGTATTATTTTTTAAAACCCAACAAATAGACAAAATAATTTGATAACTTGGACAACAATGAAATTGATTAATGCATTTAATTAAGAAAAATCACTCTGACGCTTATTTTACCTTTATTGGGTGGAAATAGACAAAAATGTGCCGATTATTTGTTTAATAACGTATATACCTTACAAATCTGAGCTACTGTCCTAGGATGATAACTTGAGCCTTTGTTTACATAACAAAGACCAATAACAATGCGAAAAATAGGTTAGGCAGATCAATGACACAACCTATAAAAATGAAAATAAAAGTACATGTCATCATATGTCTTGTTAGCGCAGTAGGTAGAGGAACCGTGTCAGTAATGTGTTTTACCCGTACAGGCAGAAGTTCGACTACTGGTACGACACATTTTTTTACCTCAGAACAGCTAATTGTTCAGAAAACAAGTTTGACCGGATTTTTCATATACATACATGAATATGATATCGAATATTTTAGTACACTGCGATCAAAAAATACAAAAAGAAAATAGAATGGAAATAAAAAAATATAAACTATAAAATATATATTATAAGAAGAAAACAAAAAGGAAATCAAAAAATAAATAAAGAAAAATGATAAAAAAAACAGAGTAAGAAGAAAAATTGTGGTTATAAAATGACACTAAGTGGGGTTCGAACCTATGGGTACAAAACACTAATAGTTACAATTACTCCGACCTACCGAGAGAGCCATAACGGTAATACACAAACGATTCTGTAAGAATAATGCTATATAGAATCGAAGTGTTTACTTTTACGATATCGGATAATAATCCAGCTAACCCCGTTTTTCGACTTTCCCATGTACCGTTAAGACCAAATTATCATCTTAGGACAGTACAGACCAGAAATTAGCTAAAGTAAATAAAGTTCGCCGACTCATTAGCTGTTAATTATTTTTTTTCTTATCTATATTTATATCAAACTAATTCCCTAATGTTATGCTAATTAGCACAAATGAAGAATCCGGTGATAAGAAACGCTCTACGGTAGCCTAACCTAGACAGAGGTTCTGCAACACTCAGCTGAGAGCATATTCATATCCGTCAATAACGACAGCCGGTGTTTGATTCTTTTTCTTGCATATAAAGCAAAAATCATAATTGAGCCGCGTCACGACAAAACCAACATAATTGGTTTGCGACCAGCATGGATCCAGACCAGCCTGCGCATCCGCGCAGTCTGATCAGGATCCATGCTGTTTGCTTACCAACTCTATTACAAGTAGAGAACCTGATAGCGAACAACATGGATCCTGATCAGACTGCGCGGAAGCGCAGGCTGGTCTGGATCCATACTGGTCGCAAATTCATTATGTTGGTTTTGTCATGGCACGGCTCATATATGTTTTCGTAATATCCTTAATTTGTTGAAAAAAATCAAACACCGGCTGTTGTTACATACAGGAATAAAATGTTGAGAAGCAGTTGAGGACGGGTTATTTACAGCACCTAAACATCCCTAATACAACAACCGGAAGTTGAAATCTGACAACGTGCCCTCTGATCGACCCGACAGCAAATTTAAATAAAATTCAGCAATCAAAATAAGTATATTGAAATGGTTTAAAGCGTTTATAACTTTAATAGTTTTCGAGATATATATAAAATATCCAAATATTTGTATTTGTATTTGAAGTGTGTGTTGGGAAGGGAGACATCACTTAAGTCTAGTTACAGTACAATTGTATCTAAGTTTTGGTATATAATTGAATTAACAAAAGAAAAACAACAAAAAAACAAAGTTCCGCTAGGAATAAAGAACAGAATTACATGATTCCTAGCGGAACTTTGAAAGCTTTTATTGTAAATTAAGTTATTATTCTAGAGAAGTCGTTGAACAAGCGAAGGTAAATTGCTCTAATTCGACTTGAGAGACATAAACCTCGTTTTCTAATTTTGTCAGTGACAGTTTCATGAAGGCTATGTGGCTTAATATGTTTTTATACCACTCTGATAAATCCCTTCTCGACATATATTTCCTCACTGTTAACAGAGGGGTAAATTTGAATTCACAATATGTACGGTCTTCGTTCAGAGAAACAAAAAAACAAAACACAAGCTCTGCAAAAATAAACTGATATGTATTTTTAGCCACACACAGCATTAACTGTAATGCCTAACTCGTCTTATTCCATCCTCTAAAAATAATCAACTATTTAAAGTCGGCACTTGGGACAAACAGAATTTCCCCGATCACTATATTACTTTCCTTAATTGATATCCGTACTTTCACAAGACGATTATTTTAAAAGCTAAAAAGTAGGAACGAGGTGTAAATGGAAGTTTAGCTTGATACACGATTTTGCATTTTAACATCTTTTACAACAAATAATTTGTTTCTGGCTACTTGTGAGCTCAAATCATTTAAAACGCTAATGATATTTTATCGACAACATTGAAAACAAAGAATGGTGAATTTTATGTCAATATTCTTCAGACAGTTTGTCAATTTAAGATTCTTACAAAGGACCCGTATTAATTTTGGTTTCTTTTACTCTAACATATTTAATAAGATATTCTCATTAGAATTGTATTGATCAGAATTACTTTAATTTTGCCAAATCTTAAGTAATAGAAAGAGCGTCGAAACACAAGGTTATCTGATTTGTACGAGGGGGCGTAGCCCCCGAGTATTAATCAGATTGCCGAGTGTTTTGATGTTCTTTCTCTTTTGTATCATAGTCAAACATAAAAACACGTTCCCTGTTGTCACAATATGAAACCCCAGAAAAAAGGAACCAATGGACGAGCATCTGAATATGATATTTCTGTCGCTTTCCCTTTCTCTGCCGTCACAATAAGTAAACCCCGGCAAAACTGAGCCAATCAATGGGCATGCTCTGGAGTGCGGGTAACTAATACCTGCACTCTAGTTAATGCACTGTGCATGTATATGTAAACGATTTAACTCTGGCACATTTTCAACAGAATTGTTCCCAAACTATGATACAAATGAAATTTTAAAGCTAACATTTTACAAGGTAATTCGATGAACGGAAACTTGGTATACACATTCGGTATGACACGCGCTAGTTTCATTGATCCATTATGTCTCTTTTTAAAATATATACACATCTTGTTTTATGTTTTACATTTATTACATTCGGCTGTTAGGACAGGAATTTAAACATAGCAAAATATATGCAAAGAATAAATGCGCAGAAATTATATTTACAATACGCAGCGACACTTAATTTATCTAATTTTTGAAAAGTAAGAAAGTATTTAAACATTGTATACATTTAGGATTTATAAAGTCTGCACAACCCTTTTGCAAATGAAAGCTTTCCATTTATTTCATACTTTCATATAAGCATTCAAAGTCCAGTGAAAAAAATGATGAACATTAAACGTCTAGTGGCTTTATACTATAAGGCATAATTGATATACCAAATAGCCGACTGCTCTTAGAGAACGAAAGTTATTTTACGTTATCAAAGAGTATTCTAAAGTTACATTCTAATTTCTCAATTCCCGAAGCTCCCACACATATGTTCTAAGCCCAAGTTAAAAGACTCGCTAAAATTGTGAGATTTAAGAGGTAATTGTACATATCACTACTTAAATTTTTTGCCGATTGGGTAAAATTGAAGAAAGAATTAAAAAAATTTTATTATTATTTTAAGAAACCAGAACACGCTTGCTTTTCTCATATTTCAATTGGATAAAGTACTTTAATTCACAGTTTGAAAGTCATTTTTCACATCTTTTTGATCTTATGTGGCTCAAAGTTGAATTTTAGCTCGACTGTATTGTTCAAAACAACGATTTTGTTTCAATAACATGCTTAACAGACTGGTGCTATGTTATTACACACATTGCATGTGAAGCTGCTTTAAGTAAAATTATTTTCCAAATGATGTAAGAAAATAGGTCCATTATGACGGGACTACATTGTAGAATCATTATTTACAGTCAACTTATTAATATATTATGTCGATCTTTCATTATACGATGTGCATCTATTGTTATACGAACATTGCTTTATATGAAGTGCAAACATCATTATATCGTGTGCTTCTGTCATTATACTGATGGGGTTAAATTTACCGGGTTATATCTCACTATGCACCGTTCGTGGCGACAGCGGGAAAACTCACAGTAAATTGTATATAAAGACAATCCTACACAATAAAGTGTTGTTTTGACTCTATATAAGAATGGTTCCACATAATATATTCGTAATTGCACATCATATAATGAAAGACTGACATCATATAAGGACACATACACACCATATAATGTTAACTTGACTCTATATAAAGATGGTTCCACATAATATTCATTAATGCACATCGTATAATGAAAGATTGACATCACATAAGGACGTGTTGACATCATATAATGTTAAGTTGACTCTATATAAAAATGGTTTCATATAATATATTCATTAATGCACATCGTATAATGAAAGACTGACATCATATAAGGACGTGTTGACATCATATAATGTTAAGTTGACTCTATATAAAAATGGTTCCACATAATATATTCATTAATACACATCGTATAATGAAAGACTGACATCATATAAGGACGTGTTGACATCATATAATGTTAAGTTGACTCTATATAAAAATGGTTCCACATAATATATTCATTAATACACATCATATAATGAATGATTGACATCATATAAGGACGTGTTGACATCATATAATGTTAAGTTGACTCTATATAAAGATTGTTTCACATAATATATTCATTAATACACATCGTATAGTGAAAGATTGACATCATATAAGGACTAATTTACATCATATAATGTTAAGTTGACTCTATATAAAAATGGTTCCACATAATATATTTATTAATACACATCATATAATGAATGATTGACATCATATAAGGACGTGTTGACATCATATAATGTTAAGTTGACTCTATACAAAGATTGTTTCACATAATATATTCATTAATACACATCGTATAGTGAAAGATTGACATCATATAAGGACTAATTTACATCATATAATGTTAAGTTGACTCTATATAAAGATTGTTTCTCATAATATATTCATTAATGCACATCATATAATGAAAGATTGACATCATGTAAGGACTTATTTACATCATATAATGTTAAGTTGACTCTATATAAAAATGGTTCCACATAA